AAGCTGCTCAGCTGGAAATCTGAGCATTCTGTTTTGTTCTCTGTAAGTTTTACTTATCTTTTTTGTTCTTGAGGCAATTAAGATAACTTTTTTCTTTTAAAACCAAATTCCCCTCACTGCCTGGTCACATGTCTTAGCATACACCAGGAAACCGAAGACAAAGACAGTAATGAGATCAGCCTGTCCGGGGAGGGGAGCTGAGCAACTGGTTTTGTGGGGTGTCTTATCTTCAGGCAAATCAGATTAGCTTCTTCCTTGAGCCTTTTACTTCAGAGGTAACTGAAGGAAGTGAAATTTGGGAGTTTACAGCCAGCTGGTTTATTCTTGTATTCTTTAAGCATTTGCTCAGCGTTTATTCCTTTATTCGGAAGAGAGCTTGGAGGAGAGGCAGAGAAAGAAGAGTCTCCCCCCTCCCAACTTGCCTGTGCCCCTTGGCCAGCAGGTGCCTTAAAGGACACTGTCTCTCACGTTCCTCCTACGCTAGAGGTGGTCCCCTCCACCCCAAGCTCTCTTGCAAAGGAATTTTTAACCAGATAATATCCATCTTTCTGAAATTAGTTCTGGTTAATAGAGTAGTCCCCCTCCCCACTTATTATAAACATTTTAATTGTGGTAAACTACACACAACATAAAATTTACCACTTTAACCATTTTTAAGTGGCATCAAGTATTTCACATTGCTGTGCAGCTCTCACCACTATCTGCCTCCAGAAAGAACTCTTTTCGTCTTGCAAAACCGAAACCCTGTACTCATTAAACACCGACTCCCCGTTTTCTCATTTCTCCCAGCTCCTGGTCGTCACTCTTCTCTGTTTCTACGCTAGGGAACTCGTGTAAGTAGAGGCGTACATCATTTCATCCATGTAGTAGCATGTGCCAGAATCTCCTTCCTTTGTTAGACTCAGTAGTATTTGGCTGTGCGTGTAGACCGCATGGTGCTTTTCCATCCATCTGGAAAAGCAGACACCTGGTTTGGGCTGCCTCCTCTTCTTGGCTGTTGTGAATAATGCCGCCATGAACACCGGTGTGCAAATCTCTTTTTGAGACCTGGCTGTCTCTTCTTTTGAATATATACTCAAGAGCAGAATTGCTAGATCTTACAGTAATTCTGTTTTCAATTTTTTGAGGAATTGCTAGGCTGTTTTCCAAACAGTGGTTGCACCATTTTACATTCCCACCAACAGTGCACAAGGGTTCCAGTTTCTCTACGTCCTCACCAGTCCTCACCAACGCTTGTTATTTTCTGTTTTCTCGATAGCAGCCATCCTAACGGGTGAGAGGTGGTAGTATTCTCCCTTTTTAAAAATTTACAGCACTCAGTTGTCAACGTGGCCCAGTGGCCCCAGAGTACACGGATGCTGAGGAGGGTTCCTGGGAGCACATTGCTAGTGGGGCCCAGGACCTCACCACTTGTTAAGAGTTATTGAGAAGATTTCCTGCTTTCAAAGAGTGGTATTTGCAGATTTGCAAAGAAGTTGCTCCTCACAGGGGGTAGCTCATGACATCAAAGCACCACTCACCTCAGCTAAACACACAGCTGTAGGTATCAGGACACCTTCTCATCTTGTGTAGTAGGAAAACACACCACACCAAGAAGATCACACAGGACACCTGAGTCTTGGGTCTGTCTTTGCCGGAGTCACGTCCCATAACTGGGCTTTTTAAAAATAAGGTTGTTGGAAGAACAACTCACTCAGGATCCTTCCAGCTTCAAAATTCTTGGATTCTGTGCAATGACCTTGACTTTGCTCCCTGAAAAGGGGGAGGGACGCTTTGTTGTTGATGACGAGAGAGCAGGACAACAATCGGTTTCATTTAATGACGATGTCACTAAGGACTAAAGGAACACAGCCTTTGTCACAGAGCAGTTAGAGCAGGAATCGGACCTTGCGTGTCATCTAGGCTGCCATGCTGGTTTTGCAGAGGAGAGGCTAGGAGGCAGGGGTGTGGTGATACTGTCCCGTTAGGAGCTTTCTGTTTCATGTGAGTAAAAAATATTAACAGCAGTTCTCCGCTGCACTGGCCTGGGCTCAGGGTGGTCTCATCATTCAGTGACAAGCACAGCTCGTACAGGAGAGTGTGAAGTTACAGGAAGCCATGGGGGGTGGGAGAGGCGGCTTGACAAAACCAAAATAGAAGTCACTGCTGAAGACCCAGTGCCTGGTCTGGTGGCGCGACTCACCGGCCCTGTGGTCTGGGTATTTGCTTCACTGCGGTTTTCTGGTCTGAAGGGCTGCGTACCTCCAGGGCTGTTGGAGAGTCAACGTGAGATGATGATGTATGTGAAGGAAATTGAACAGAGGTGCTATTAATACTGCTTGCACGAGCCTGTAGGGTTAGGGGTTTACCCCTCTCGACAAACATGTATGTTAAAAGATCTAAATTTATCATTGGGGTGATGATGTCTTATATAAAAGGATTCACTGTGAGAAGTACCAGGGTTACAGAGAATCATTTTTTTATATCATACATCTTTGCAAGAACCATCCCACCCCAGCTTTTTGGGGTGAAGTTATTTAAACCTGCGCCACTAGCAAACTCAGAAAAATGTGTGTTTTGATATATGTATATATATATGTTTAGATATATATATATATATATATATATCTGCCTTGTGTTCACAGGGCAGATGAAGGTGGAGCTGGACAGCTCTGGTTTTTCTTCCATTTGAAGAGGGCAGGGCTGAGCCGGCCTCTGGACGTGTTTACTAAAGAGGAAATGTGTCTATCCAGGGAGCTTCATTTACGATTGTGAAATGAGCCCGTTTGGGTTTCCATACTCTTTTCTTGATGGGTGTCATGCTTTGCTTTTAGCTCTCTGGCCTGTTCTCAAGTAGAATTAAACCAGCTCTTGCTTGCCCCTGCGAGGAGCCTTGCCTTCCTCACTTGCAAACGGAAATGCCACTCGCCTCTGCTCATTTCACAAGGGTTGAGGTGAGGCTTCCAAAAGATGTATTTTGTGTGTTTAACTTGAAAAGGATGAGGCCTGATCCTTGGCCTCCTGGAGAACATAGCTCATAAAAGAAAAAGCAAACATACGGTTTCCTCTGCTCTCGTTCACTCTCATTCGTTGACACCAAGTGTGTGAGCCTCTTCTACACCAAGCAATTCTCCAATTCCCTGTGGACACCAACTGGGTGCCGAGTAATTCAGTTCAATTCCGACTGGCACCATCTGCCTGGAGTTAGTGTCCGATCCCACAGGTCAAGGGCTCAGTCCTACAAGACTGTCCCCCGCCTGGGATGCTGTAGTTCCTACTCACCAGCTGTAAACCGGGCGTTCCCGGAACCCGTTTGTTGGGTTCAATCATTTGTGTAGAATGGCTCACCGAACTCAGGAAATGGTTTACTTACTATTACTGGTTTACTGTAAAAGATACAACTTAGGAACAGCTCGGAAGGATGCCTAGGGCAAGGTCATGGGGAAGGGGTAGGGGCCGAGGGCAGGGGCAGCCGCCTCTGGGCGCTCCCCCTCCCAGCACCTCCTGCAACCTCTGAAGCCCCTTCCTTTAGCTTATGGAGGCGCCATTATATGGCAAGATGGATTGAATCCTTGGCCACTGGTGGTTAGGCTTGCTCTCCCCCTTCTTCTGTCTTCCCTGGAAGGGGGGAGGCGGGATGAGCTGAAAGTACCAACTCTTCAATCACAGGTTTGTTCCTCTGGCCACCAGCCCCCATCCTCCAAGAGTTACCTCATTATCATAAACTCTGGTATGGTTGAAAGGGGCCTATTATGAATGACAAAAGATGCTTCTTTCACCTTCCCTGCTGCTATTAAGGAGCTCAAATGTTTCAGGTGCAGGAGACAAAACCCAAATACAATAAAAGGTATTCTTATCTCTTAGGAAATGACTAGGGGTTCAGGAGCTCCCGCTGGGACCCAGGGATGAAGACCAAAATAGACATTTCTTATTATGTCTTAATGTCGCAGCTTTGCTGAATGACAGGAAAGCCGTATGGGAACAGCAGCAGGGCAGGAAAGTTCCCAGAACCTACCAGTCTACACAGCAGGTTCGTCAGCCACAGGTGCACTGGGGCTGAGGTAGTTCCTGGAATCACTGCAGGTGACCCCCCTGGGGTCGTTGCCCCCTGGGGTCATTGCCCCCTGGGATCGTTGCCTTGAAGCATGAGAGCAGTGTGGACCAGGAGACAGGGTGAGGTTTGGGGAGCAGTTGGAAGTTGCACTGTGCACACCCTTCATGCTCAGGTGGGACTTGCATGGTGACAGCACGTGACAGGCATGGGGATGGGCCAGCAGCGGCCCCCCTGGTGCTCGCCAGGGGGCCAGAGCTGTGCATAGGCCAGAGCACGGTGACGGCTTAGCTCGTCCCTTGTCCGCTTCTTGTTACCACCTCCTTTTCGAGGGCATCATTTCTCGTCTGCACTGTCACCAGCAGTGCCCTGTAGCCTTCCTTCTCCTTGGTCACAGCTCCCTCAGCCTTTACTTAATGCAAACACAGCAGCAAAATGCAAACACAGTGTTCTGGGGGAGGAGCAGCCCGAGGGCAGGCAGAGGCCAGGGTGGACATCCTTACTGAAAAAGATCATCTTCTCCCATCTCCTCCAGTGTTAAGTAGCTACTTTATTTGGCATGGTGAGGGAAGCTAAGTTGGATGAAATGGTCTCTTTTCTCAAGTTGTAAGAGTTAGTGTGCAAAACTCGCTTGTGATGACAGAATAAGGCGCAGGCAGCAGCAGTCCTGAGGACAAAATAAACTTGAGAGAAGACTTGAGAGCAGACAGAGCCCAGTGACAGCTGAGATTGGACATCGTGGGGTCTGCGCTGTCTGCTGGACCGCAGGAGGGCAGAGATCGGTGGGCTCGTTGATTGGGGTGGGTATTGTGGAGGGCGTTCGGAAACAAAATGATTAAAGTGTGGAAGTCGAGTGTGTGATCTACGTTTTTTGCAAGGGTGACGAGTTCTTTTCGATTGGCCCTTGATGGCTTTCCCAGAGTTAATCGTTTCTGTGTGTGTGTGTGTTTTGTCTGTTTCTGTGTTCTAGGCTCAGACCATGAATTACGTGGGGCAGCTGGCCGGCCAGGTGTTCGTGACCGTGAAGGAGCTCTACAAGGGGCTGAATCCCGCCACGCTGTCCGGGTGCATCGACATCATCGTCGTTCGCCAGCCCAATGGGAGCCTCCAGTGCTCCCCCTTCCACGTCCGCTTTGGGAAGATGGGGGTCCTGCGCTCCCGGGAGAAAGTGGTAAGAGCGCGGGACCCAGTGACGTGGTGCACAGGCTGTCTAGTCCCTAGAGAAAATCATTAGGTTCCTGTGTTGCCACCTGTCTACTTTCTCAGACCCAAGAGTTCCGAATCTTCGTCGGAAATGGCCGTTCCTCCAATTGACAGTCACTAATTCCAGTTGTCCTAGTTAGCAGGGCCGTATACATTACTCTAAAATGCGGCACACACCAACTGTTTATCACGCTCCTGTGTCCTGAGGGTCAGGGATTCAGGCAGAGCACAGCTGGGATGGCTCGGCTCTGCTGTCTGGGGCCCCAGCGGGAGGACTCTCAAAGGTAGGGGGCTGGCGCCATCAGGGTCCCCGCTTTCTCCCGAGCCTGCTGGTTGATCCTGGCCCTTGGCTGGGCTCTCTGCCGAGGCTGTTTGCTGCACCACCACACGTGGCCTCCCCGTGTGGCCTGAGCTCCCCCACAACATGGCGGTGGTGTCCAGGGCGAGCATCTCCGGGGAGTGGGAGCCAGGTGGACGCCGCGTCTCTCTGTGGCCCGGCCTCGGAAACCACTCGGCCTCACTTCTGCTGCGCTTTACCAGTTGGGCAATCCCAAGCCTGCCCGGGCTCAAGGGGAGGGAGAAGTAAGCCTTTCTTGATGGAGAGTGACCACCAGGCTTTGGGAGAACACGCAGGAAAAAGAGATCTTGGTGTGGCCATATTTGGAAAAGACAATCTGCCACACAAATTAAAGAAAAAAAATTCTTAAAAAGTTATTTATACATTTCATGCCCCTACTAATATGGGATTTGGAATGCGGTCTCATGACTGGTCCTTTGAGTTCAGTCCAAGTGGAAGAAGCTCTTTGTTGAGGGTATTTCCAAAATCCCAGCCAATCTCCCATGAATGTTCCAGGGAGTAATTTCTAAAGACCGGGGCTGGGGCGAGGTTGGTTGCATGTTGGGCTCTGCCACTAACCAGTGTTTTGACCCTGGGCCGGTCACTCCCCTTGTCTGGTCTCAGCCCCGGAGCTGGAGAAGCAGGGGCTGGGCCAGGTGGTCTCGGAGGGGTCTTCCCCTTCTGGGTTCCATCCTCCATGCTCAGGGGCCTGCTCTCCCTAGCCCAGAGCTCCCAGGGCTCGGGTGCAGCCGCGGTGGGTCGGAGCTGCGAGCTGCTCTCGGGGCGTATGTGATTCAAGTGCGTTTGCAGAGACCAGCCGTTCCCCAGGAAGTTTCCTGCTGCGGGGAAGCCGGCTCATCCTTCACCGCGTTTTCCTTTCAGGTTGACATAGAAATCAATGGGGAATCGGTGGATTTGCACATGAAATTGGGAGATAACGGAGAAGCATTTTTTGTTCAGGAAACTGATAATGATCAGGTAAGGAGGCTGGGGGGGTCAGGGTTAGGGTCGGGGCGACTTCCTGGTTTTGAGCTCTGAGCAGTGCTTATCTGGGGACGGGCAGAAGTCTCTGTGAGGAAGCAACCCTGGCGCCCGGCCGTGCGGACGAGGGTGGCCGAGAAGAGTGGCCGTTTGCTGGTACTGGGGATCTGAGCCAGACAGGCTGAGCGTGCTGGGTCTACACAGCTCGCTTCCATTGCTCACTGTTTCCGGAGAGACAGAGGCAGGGACTTGACACATGGGCTTGAACCGTCGTCCAGAGCACACAAATTACAGGGGTGCGTCAAGTCTCAAATGGCTGAATGTTCTGCTTTTTATGTAGTGAGTGGCCAAGTCACTTGTATTTTTTATTGGTTTAGCAGCTTTATTGGGATATACTTCACATACCGTACAATTTACCCATTCCACCCAGTTCGGTGGTTTTTGCACAGATAAGCACAGCTACCACCACAGTCAATTTCAGAGTGTTTTCATCACCCTAAAAAGAAACTCCATACGCTTTAGCTGTCACCTTCCCTATCTGCAACCTGCCCAACCCCCAACCCCTAGACAACCACTAATGTCTTTCTGTCTCTATAGATTTCCCTCTTCTGAGCTTTTGAATGGAATCATATATCATGTGTTCTTTTGTGCCTGGCTTCTTTCACTCTTGTTTCAAGGCTCATCCAGGTTATAGAACGTTATCAATACTTTCTTCCTTTTTATGGCCACATAGTATTCCATTGTATCTGTATTCCATGTTTTGTTTACCCCTCATCTGTTGATGGACACTTGGGTTGTTTTCACTATTTAGCTATTTTAAATAAGGCTGCTGTGAACATTCACATACAAACTTTTGTGTGGAGATACATTTTGATTTTTCTTGGGTATATACCTAGGAGGGGAATTCCTGGGTTATGTGCTAACTTGTAACTTTATGATTAACTTGAGGAACTTTCAGACTGCTGTGTGAAGTGGCTGCACCATTTGATGTTCCCACCAGCGTTCTGACCAGCCCATGTCCTTGCCAGGACTTGTTATCTGATGTTGTGATTCTAGTCCTTCCCCTGGGTGCGTAGTGGTGTCTCTTTGTGGTTTTGATTTGCATTTTCCTAATAACTAGTGATTTCGAGTGTCTTTTTATGTGCTTATTGACTGTTTGTATGTCTTCTTCGGAGGACTGTCTATTCAGATCCTTTGCTCATTTTTCATAGGTTATTTGTCTTTTTTATTATCGAGTTTTATGCATTCATTATATATTCCAGGCACATGTCCCCTGTTAGATACATACTTTGTAATTAGTTTGTCCCATTGTGTGGATTGTCTTCACTTTCTTGATGACGTCTTTTGGGGCACAAAAGTTTTTTGTTTTAATGATGTCTAATTTATCTGTGTTTTTTTCTTTTTAAAAAGTTTGTGTTTAACTTTTATTCTGTTTTTTTCATTCCTTGCATGTGCTTTTGGTGTCATATACACGTAAGAATTCTTTGCCACATCCAAGATCGTGAGGATTATGTTTTCTTGCAAGACAAACCATTTTTAAAAATCTTTTATTCACTGGTGAAGCCTCTTCGAAGGGGTCTGATGTAGTGATTGCTCATGAAATCCACTTGAACTAGTTCCTTTCTGGGAAGAGAGCATGACAAAAAAGTAGCAGCTCTGTATAGCTCCAAGCTCTCGACAGAATGTTTGTAATTCCAGTGTCAGGGCAAGGCGGTCCCAGGCACTGCCTCTCTCTGGCCTGCCCGGCGCTGTGGTGTCTGGGGAGGACCCAGCGCCCCGTGCTGCACCTTCCGTTTTCTGAATGACCCCCTGGCATCAGGGATCTCTGGCTGTCTGCTCTTGTGGCAGTGTGTTACAGCTAGCATTACAGCTCTTGTTGCAGCTCTTGTTCGTTTAGACCGGGGAAAGAACAGAGTGGCATTCGAAGAGTCGGAGAACAGCCTTTTATTCTTCCACAGCAGGATCAGCACACCTAGTGTTACAGCTCTCTTCCCATCTTCTGGACTTCTTCCCTTCTGCCCCTTCTGCCTCCCTTGCTTGTTTTCCTCCCGCTTTTATACCCTTGGTAGGGCTCAAAAAGCGTCCAATCAACTACAAGCTTTAACATCCAATCAACACCAAGCTTTAACATCCAATCAACAACAAGCTTTAACATCCAATCAAAAACAGTGGGATTCAAAAATTACCCAATCAGGATCACGCAAGCAGTGTGGCTTGAAACAGGCAACGGCTTGGGGACATTCTGGTGGCACATGGGCCCCTGGTGGCTCTCTGCTGAGCAGCCTAGCCCCAGCAGCGTGCCCTCCAACTGGCCACGCGCAGCGCTGGCCCGCGGAGATGCGGAGTGACGAGAGGTGGCAAGCGGCCGTGTCCTGGCACCTGACATTTTCCGTATCACTCTTTCTCTCTTTTTTAAATGCAAAGGCTCTTAGAATTATTGGCTCCTAATGGTGTATAGAGAGAAACTCTTCCCACCTCAAACGGACACCTGCATTTTTAACTTGGTGTGCACTGCTTTAGACAGATGTTAGGCCGTCAGAGGAAGCGTTCGGGGCCAGCATACTGTGGGGGGGGGCCTCGCAGGCCAGAGTATGTTCTGTCCCGTGTAGGTGCCTCGTAGCATCTCTGGGAGCCTGTGTCCTTCAGCACCTCTTGTCACACAGCAGCTGCACTCTGCCTCGGTGGGTCTGCCCGTCTCACACGTGCTCCTGCCCCTTCCCTTTCCAGCCGGTGCATGGCCAAGGCCCCTCTCTGTTCTCGACCCGGGTCTGTGTTGCTCACTCATTTGGTCCGGCCGAACATCCGGGTGACTTCCAGCCTAAGGCTGTGTTGCGGGGGTGATTTAGACGTTGCACTTTTAGCACGTGGGATGCTCTTTAAACCTGTTTGCTCTACCCGCAGCGTATTGCTGTGTGTCCCCTCTCTTGTGTGTATGTTCTTTACTGCTTGTTACCAAGTTTCTCATAATGAGTCATTCATTAATAAAATGATTGCTAAAGTTGTCAGAAAACTGCCAGATCGTTATCAAACAACCAGTACCTTGGCGGGTTGTGCATTTTTTTCTTTTTGTCTCTAAGAAGAAGGTCGATATCTAATTCCTTGATGTTCAGGTACCTGGTATGGGCAGGCACGTGGGCAGGGCTGTCAGCTGGTTTTTGTTTGTGTTTTAGGTTACCATCTTCATTCAGTGCATATTAAAAAAAATACACAGTTTGAGACCAAAAGAATTACACACATACCCATTCTCTCTTTCTCACCCTCCCACACCCACTCCGAAGTACAAAATTGAGTCCAGTTCTCTGCATGATCTGATGACTCAAAACCCATTTTTTCCCCCCTCTTTGCTCTGGATATTTCAGACACAGTTGAATTAGGGTGGCTGAAATCACTGACGGTCACCTCACTTTGTTATGATTATGTAAACGCAGGATCCAGTACAAAATGGGATTCCATTGGGCGGCCACGTCTCCAGGTCACTGTGGCTGTGACGTCCGGTCAGGCCGCCCCGCCGCGGCCTTCTCCGGGGGGGCGCTCGGCCTCCGAAACAAACCCGGGAGGGCCTTTGGCACCGTCCTGCTCCTTACACGAAAACGAACGAGGCTCTGTTCTGAAAGTGTGTTCTCTCCACCAGGAAGTGATCCCCATGTACCTGGCCACCTCCCCCATCCTGTCCGAAGGGGCTTCGCGGATGGAATGCCAGCTGAAAAGGAACTCTGTGGACAGAGCCAGAGGCCTGGACCCCAGCGTGCCAGCCCAGGCCACCCCTCCCGGCGAGAGCCCCTCGAGCGGCTCCTTAGTGAAGAAGAGAAGAAAGAGGAGGAGGAAGTCCCAGCTGGACAGCCTGAAAAGAGACGACAGCATCAACACGTCTGAAGACGAAGACATGTTCCCCATCGAGATGAGCTCCGATGAGGACACGGAGCTGCCGGACAGCAGTAGGTAACTGTCGAGGGCAGGAGGCCGCCTGGATGAGTGCATCTTCCAGGGTGATTTTTGTAAACTCTTATTTTTTCCTGAATTTCTTAGTCTTCAGTCATGCATTTTTGGACTGAATTTTGGGATCACGTGGACCCAGTCTTGCAGTAGTGTAAAGATTTGGTGCAGGGTTACTGCCAAGGGACAGTTGGTGAGGCCAGACCTCCCTGGCTGGTCCATCCGGAAGTCTGGGAAACAGTCAGGAACAAGAAAGGAGCAAATTAATAGTTCATGACCGAAACCATTTTTCTTAGAATGTCTTTATTCTTATTCAAGTACCAACTATGAACATAGAAATTGGGCTTATTTTGACAGAGGGGCTGATAGACTTAGGGTTAAAAAGGATACCATGGAGTGTACTATTCAGCTATAAGAAACAACGGTGATATAGCACCTCTTATATTTTCCTGGCTAGCGCTGGAACCCATTCTACTAAGTGAAGTCTCCCAAGAATGGAAACACAAGCGCCGCATGTACTCACTAGCAAATTGGTATTAACGGATCAACACCTAAGTGGACACATAGGAGTAACATTTATCGGGTGTCGGGCAGGAGGGGGGAGGGGATGGGTATATACGTACATAATGAGTGCAATGTGCACCAACTGTGGGATGGACACGCTTGAAGCTCTGACTCAAGGGGGGCAGGCAAGGGCAATATACATAACCTTAAAAATTTTACCCCAACAGTATGCTGGGGGAAAAAAAGGAATGTAGAACGTGCTCAATTTTCTCTGCAAGCTAACTTTTTCCTTTTTAATTTTGATTAGGCCCAAAGTTTAATGGACATTTTGTTCTGTTCTCCTTTACTTTTAACAGTATAGTGAAATTCTGTTTGTTATGTATGACTATTTTGGTGGAGAAATGCCAGTTTTAAAAAATAAAACTAATTTTTAAAGGATAGTTGATATTTCAGATTTTCATGTAATTCACTAAATTTTTTTTCTTTCTTTGAGACAGAGTCTCGCTTTGTTGCCCAGGCTAAAGTGAGTGCCGTGGCGTCAGCCTAGCTCACAGCAACCTCAAACACCTGGGCTAAAGCAATCCTTCGCTCCAGCTCCCAAGTAGTGGGACTACAGGCATGCACCACCATGCCGGCTAATTTTTTCTCTATATATTAGTTGGCCAATTAATTTCTTTCTATTTATAGTAGAGACGGGGTCTGCTCTTGCTCAGCTGGTTTTTGAACTCCTGACTCGAGCAATCCGCCCCTCTGGGCTCCCAAGACGTCAGGATTACAGGCGTGAGCCACGGCGCCCGGCCTAATTCACTAATTTTTGATAAGTCTTTTTTTTTTTACATCTTTTTAACATAAGGTATAAGGAACATCAGGAGTATCTCTTGCTTCACTTTTCAGAATAGAATATATGTATATATTTTTTCTGGCTAAAAATAAAGGTTAGTTGCAACGTTGTTTTCCCTAACTGCAGCCTCTGATCTGCTGTAGGCTCTGAAACTGGGTATTTGGGTAACATTTCTTATAATTGCCTTTCCTGCATGTCTTTTAATTCTAGAATTTAGTGATAGGTATTTCAGGTAACATCAAAAATACAGAGAGACAGGTGACCTCTGCGTGAGTGAGATAGTGCACCATATTTGTAGTGAGTCTGCGCATACCTGAAACGAGGTAGCTTTGTGATCATTTTGTGGTCAGAAGGTACTTTGGTTGATGTCGTCATTGATTGCTTTACTAGATGATATGTGTATGGTGGTCATTGAGTTATTTGGCCTGGTGAGAGTTTTATACCACCTTGGGTTCAGTTCTGGGCGGATCTACCTCCCAGACTTTTGGAATATGAAATCCGCAGGGCAACGGTGAGGTGCTGCCAGGGGCGAGGCCAGCAGTGCAAGCCTGTGCACGTCTAAGACCATGCGAAACTCTTTCTTTTTCGCAGCATACACGAACACATTTATATTTGCCTGTTTCTCAGTTTTCCCCTCCTCATTGCCTGGAATATGCCTGGAAGTTCAAAAAGAGGCCATGTTGTCTGGGCTCATGCCTGTAATCCTAGCACTCTGGGAGGCCGAGGCAGGCAGAGCGCTCAAGGTCAGGAGTTTGAAACCCGCCTGCGCAAGAGTGAGACCCCCGTCTCTACTAAAAATAGAAAGAAATTAATTGGCCAACTAAAAATACATAGAAAAAATTAGCCGGGCATGGTGGCGCATGCCTGTAGTCCCAGCTACTCCAGGCTGAGGCAGCAGGATCACTTGAGCCCAGGAGTTTGAGATTGCTGTGAGCTAGGCTGACGCCACGGCACTCTAGCCCGGGCAACAGAGTGAGACTCTGTTTCAAAAAAAAAAAGAGGCCATGTTAATACACAAAGCACTTAGAGGTAATCAAGAAAAAAATTGGAAGTCGACTTTATTATGAATGTATCACTAATTAATTTTTTGACTTTAATTTTTTTTCCTCCAGAACTCTGGCTAGCGATATACCTCCATTCCAAGATGATATTTCTAAGGAGAACCTTTCCCCGGTCTCGACTTACCCTCAGTCAGCTTCATACCCTAATTCAGACAGAGAGTGGTCGCCCAACCCCAGGTAAGTCACATGTTTGCGTACACACGTGTGTGTATGTATGTGTCTAAGTGTGTTCAATTGTCCCAGTCCAGAGGATCCAAAGTCGCTTGTAGGAAGCACATCTAAGAAAACAGTGAAATAGAAGTAAAAAATGAAAATAATTAGGACCAGATAAAAATGCTGTATGGAGTGGGACATACAGATTAGGATTAAAAACAGAACGTGAGCAGATCACAAACTTGTGTCTAATGTCAGAATCCACCTGCGCCGGGTCCTCCCCGGACACCGCAGCTGTGGGCGGGCCAGACGGAGGCGGTGCCTGCGGACATCTGCAGACATGGCTGGCAGCTGCCCGGACGTGAAACCGAAAGGAAAAGCACGTAAATTCCACAATGCTAGTCGTTAATGGGAGAACACAGGGGCAGAGCTCTTCTCGATACTGAGCCCTAAAGTGAGATTCAGAGACCGAGGTGTGTTGCTGTAGTGGCCAGTGGGGTCATTCAGGGCTGTTAGAATGCTGCCTCCCACATGCTTAGTTCGTTCCTCTGAATTTATCTCCCCGGGATGCACTTGCGAGTTGCCTTAGAGGTCCCGTATGAACTTGAGGACCTAGCGCTGCTCAGCGTGCTCGTTGCCGCCAGCCTCAAGACTCCAGAGGCCTGTAAATAAATGAAACCTCTGAGAACATGTGAGCCCCTCTGAGTCGTTTCCCAAAGGAAAAATAGTGAATTCTCAGCACTGGTGATAAAATTGGCGTGAAAACTGGTTCTTGGGTGGTAGCAAAACCTTAGACAGCGTAATGATTTGTGGTCCCTAAAGGGCCATAGCATTAAAATGTCGTGGTGGTGCGGGCTGGGCTGTTCGTATCTCACAGTGTGTGGTGCTAATGGGGAAAGGGAAACACGGATCTGAATGACAGTGACATCCTTGGATTGTTCTTACACCTGAGGCCTTGGATTTACTTCCTGTGCAAAATGGAAGTATATGTGTCCCTAGAAGCTCTGGCGGGTGCTGCGGTGGGTTCCTACCTAAAGCCAGTCTCATCAAAACACTGCTGCTGGGGCCAGTCTGATCGGAGGGCTCTTTTAAGCTGAGGCTGGAGAAAGAGTAGCTCTGTCCTGAGCCGGGTTTCCAGCCAAGACTGATATCGAATGTGAGTCCGCAGGGCGAGGCCGGGCCGGTTCTGAAGCCCCCTCGGCCGACTCTGTCTGTGTCAGAAACCAGCCCTGTCCGGTAGAAACATAATGATTTAGCTATGTATGTCATTTTAAGTTTTCTAGTAGTCCTATTTAAAAAAGTAAAAAAAAAAAGCAGAAGAAATTAATTTTAAAAATATATTTCATTTGACCCATTTTATCCAAAATATTATCATTTCAACAAGTAATCGATTTTAAAAAAATTGTCAATGAGGTGTTTCACATTCCCGTTTTCATAGCAAGTCTTTGAGATCTGTTGTGTATTTTGTATGTATGGAACATCTCCATTTGTACCGGCCACATTTCAAGTGCTCAATAGCCACATGTAGCTAGTGGCTTATTATATTAGACAGTGAAGATAAAATAACCTTTCTAGAACCTCATATATTCTTTCCCTAGGTCTGTGGAGATAAAATCCTAAGGGGGGAAAAGCAGTAATTTAGGAACAAAACAATGTAGAATATTTAGAAACTATGAATAGGTTGAAAAATCTGTACAAATGCTATATATTAATTTTAAGAATTTAAAAGAAACATTTTAAACACAACCCTGAGCGTGTTTGTCTGTCTTTAATGTTTTTCTTTATGAATCCAGAACAATAACTGAGTTAGATTATTTAGATCTGACTACTGTCAAATGGAATTACAAATTAGGATAAATATACACACATCTCCATACTTGGAATCATGTATTTTCTTTAAAGAGAGTTGGTAGCACGGATCCTCAAATCCTCGGATCATGTAGTTTGAATAAGCACTAAAGTGTGACCAAAGACAGACAATGGTTTATGGACACATGGGTGAAACAGAAAGTGAAATAGAGGTCTTCTCTGGCAGTTTCCTATTTTTGTGGTTCAGAATCACGTGGTTCTAAGATTCAACATACAGTTCTCCGCTGTTGTCAGACGCCTAAGTAGTTTCATTTTCTTACAGATGCCATTGTTGAGAGTCGTCAAATAATTTATATGAAATTCCATTTAATTTAATTGACCTGTGATTTTTTTTCTTTCCTCTAATGTATCACGTGGTGGTGTCCAGTCACCCGGTAGATTGCACGAGGGCACCCCCTCATCTTGCAGTCGCCGCCGAGGGAGGCCTGTCCAGCTCTTGCCCTCCACATTCCTCCCACTTCCGCCCTTCGGAAAGGTAGAGCGGTTATTTTCCCCACCTGAATATATATTCAGTAGTGAACGTTTTGATCTAACTCTTCTAAGTCTATTTTTATCATTAACCAAATTACTTATGGAGAAAATACCTATAGATTTTATAGAGTGAAAATTTTGATCTAACTCTCTTACAATCTGCTTCACCAACTAACCAAATTACTTATGAAGACAGTACATACAGAGTATTATTTTCCTTTCATTTTTAAGCATTTGTAGATGATTAGTTTTTTGTTTTTTTTTTTTAAATCCTGAATTTGACTCTCTGGAAATTATGGTTAGGTATATCATTCTACCTAATTTTGTGGAGTGCTTTGAAAAATAGAATGATGAAATATAGATTGGGAATATGACCTTTTGTGTCTAGGGTTGTTTGACAAATAAGTTTGCAAGATATTTTTGGGATGCCACTTTAGTAGAAGTCATTTATTATGGATATTTAAATAGCTTATGAGGCTGTCTGAATAATGGAGTCAGACATTTTCCACAGAATTTACAGAACAGAATTTTGGAGAATAGTAGGTTGGATCTCAGGTTTAGGATCACATGTTTATATTTTCACCTGGTTGTGCAGTTGTCTTAGGTTTCTGCCTTAGATTTTGCCTCCTACATTGTAGACTTAAATGGCTTACTTTATAAAACCTTAGCACATGAAGCTGTGATTAATTTGTACATGGAAAACTGTTTTCCTTTTGATTAGAGAACCAAACCTCAGCTTTTACTTCATTCAGATGTTATATAAGCAGAAGAAAGTTCATTTTAAAATGAGGAAAACAAAGTGATGAACAGTTATAGCTAGTTTTCCTTATTAAGGGACTGGAAAAAAAATATTGAAAACTGTTATGAGGCTAATAATTGCCTTATTTATGAAAATTAGTCAGTGATCTTGTATAAGCTTACTCTCTGAACAACCCTTGATTTTAAAAGTGTCATATTTGATAATAGGGCATTTTGGAACCAACTTTCTGATAAGGGACAGTCAGCATTGGGACTCCCTTTTCTTAGGTCATCTTCAGTCTTTCTGAATTCCCCCAGTGACCAGTGGCGGAAAGTACATGTGTGTCTATGTGCAGAATCCTTCTGGGAGAGGCTGCTGGGGCCTTAGTGGGCGGCATTTATGGTGGCATAGTTAACGTGGGAGGTGGGACCTCTAGCTTATGAGTTTGGTGCAGGACTTGCCTCTTTAATAACGTGAGCTTGCAAACATGAATGCCTCTACAGAACCCTGGTGGCTTGTGGCTTTTAGGAAAGGACCAGAATGTTAGGAATCCTGGAGCTGGGAGGTGCTGCAGGAGAACCGTGCTCAGCACTTCCATTCTTTCGGGGCTGTGGGCCACATCCCGCCTACCACCTGCTTTTGTCAAGCTCTGCGGGAGCACAGCCAGTTGGTTTACATATTGGCCCGTGGCGGGTTCCACACCACCAAGCAGAGTTGAGTAACTGCAGCGGAGATCATACAACCCACAAAGCCCAAGATACACGCCACTGGGCCTTTTACAGAAAAAGTTTGCAGGCCCCTGCTCAGTCTAAAGGGCTTTAGTGGGTAAGATAATTTGTTGTTCCAAAGAACTTACAACAAAATGTAAGTTATATTTTATGTGATAGAATATAATGGCAAGAACTTTCTAAACAGATGCTTTGAGGTTCGGGGGCAGCACCATCGAGGGGAGGTAGGGTGGACTTCTTCTGTGGTGCCTCTGGAGAAAGAGTGGATTTGGGTCGCAGCTTATGCACAAGGGCCCCTCACCGGAGGTCACAGCGCTTGGGTCACCCATTACTCTGACATCGAACACGAGATCGTGGAAGCTTCAGTGCCAGAAAAGCATTGCTCCTTTGGAGAACAGTCTGATTGTAGAACTCTCGCAAGGAAGGGTTGTTGAAAGGCAACGAGTGCTTTCCCATGCAGACGTGTGTGGGACCAGTGTCCCTTGTCACAGGACTGCTTCCTACAGGGCAGAAAAATGTACATGTGTTGGTTGCGGGGTGTCCTGGTGTACACGCTCTCACAGCCCGGGACTTGGGGAGCCTCCTCTCTATAGACAGGTGAACTGGAGCGTGAGGGCTGCCGTGGGGGCATCGGTGCCGGGCGGGCGCCAGGGGAGAAGGGACAAGCCTGCGTGCACCTCGGTGTGAAATGGGGGAGGGACAGTGCTTGGTCTGTTTGTGCCACACAGCTTGGCAAGAGAGATTTAGGAGCAGTCTGCCCAGCAGGGGCACCTGTCTGTAGCATGCAAGTGCCTTGTCATCGTGAGCTCACCTTGTACTGACCGGAGAGGTGTATTCAGCTGGAGTAAAAATATAACTCTTAACAGATAAAAGAGACCAAGCACATCAGTGAGAGGTCCCCGAAGAGCCACATAGATAGGTCTGTGATGGGTCACAGATGTAGATAAGGTCTGTGAAAGAGGATGTCAAGTGAAATTGTGGTAGCTCTGTTTCCTGCTCTGTTTGAAAACTCTGCTATCTTCCTCTAGAGGAAATGGTGCGGGAGAATGAAGACAAGCAGTAATTAAATGTTAGTATATTGTAATAAATAAGTACAATGATTACTGCTGTAAATAATTAATACTTAGAATACCAAGAATCTCGTGGATAAGTTTGATGACTTCTGGATGGTGCCTTTGGCCCGAAGTAAGGCTTTGCTTGGGTCTTAAGAGTTAAAACAGAGAAAACGTGGGGGTGAGAGAGCATGTTACAGCCGCTTAGGAGCTGGCCTGAGAATTGAACGCCATGATACATTGATTGTTAGGGAACGAGCCTGAGCAAATTGGTGGTGGGTCCTTTGAAGTATTCCTTTATAAGGTCTTATAAAATCTTGACTTGGAGTTCATTTGTGGCATTCTGCATGTGAGACGATCTTCCTGTTTTCAAAGCTAGTGCAGATGTATAAATATCTTTAAGTGTAGAATATAACGGGTGCATGTCAGGGCTGGCCAGGGCCCTTTTGCAGGCGGTTGAGAGTTGAAACACTTGATTTGGAAATCGAGAGTGCAGGAGAGGTGAGCTCAGGGTGGGGTGGAAGGATGGTGGTTTTGAAGTAAGAACTAACTCTCTTTTTCCTTTCTCTATTTATCTTTCTCTCTTTTCCTTTTTGATATTCTTTCCTAGGCTACTTTCTTTCCTAGGCTACTTCTTTTTCTCTTCTTCTCTACTTAGGGTTTGGCCGCATGCTGGGGCAGGTTACCCGGAGTGGGAGCACCTTCCACCTGGTCGCAGGTTGCCTGGACCCCCTGGTGGCCAAAGGAGGGATATGTCACAGAGCCCTGCTCATAAGGCAGTGACAGCTTGGGTGCATTTTCTGGGTTATTTGAGCATGGATCCGGGCCAGCAACATTTGAAACAGTTTCTTTTCCCACTTTAATCGTGGCTTTGTGTTTTCCTCAGTCCTTCAGCTTCCCGGCCTTCGACACCTAAAAGTGATTCCGAGTTGGTTAGTAAGTCTGTGGACAGGACGGTGCAGAAGAGCAACCTAGAAATGCTCTGGCTTTGGGGAGAACTGCCACAAGCTGCAAAGGTAGGCTCTTTTTCTTAGTTCTGCCACATACTGAAGATTTCTAACTTAGCTTAAATTGTATGGAATTAGTGTTCTGTCACAGCCAAGAAGCATAGCTACCAGGAGCTGGAGGTAAATGAAACAGTGTTGAGGATTAACCTGAACACCTGAATTGCATTTTCCCACATTACCAACATTATAAAGAGATCTCATTGCATTTATGTATTTTAAACATACAGGACTATTCTCAGGATCTAATTTTCTATCACAACTAAATGCAAAACAGATTTTAAAAAGTACAACTTATACACGAATCCTGCTGCCTTCAAGCTGTAAACAAAAGTACTTCCCAGTGCTTACTTCTTCTTGGAGGTCAGAGGTGACTGCAGAGAAGTCATGGGGACGGAGACTTGGAAGCTGGGTCTGTGGAATGAGGGGCCGAGGGAGTTGTGACAGCTGGAATCCCCCTTTGGGGTGTCCCTTACAGAGAGAAACTTCTGGCAGAGGGAAAGGCTAGTAGAGCAAGAATGGAAGATGTGAGCCTAATAGATAAAGTCAGGAAATTTTAAGGCTTCGCTTAATCAAGTAGCAAGTATTAATATCTTTGGGACCGTCATTATTGGTGAGACCCTGAATTTGACCCTGTGGGATCTCCAGAAGAACAGAGAAGCAGCTGAGCATAGCGGAGAGAATGAGGGCCTGGGAGGCAAGACCGTTCTGGGATTGAATCCCCATTCCACCACTTGCTAGCAGAGTGACCTTGGGCCAGTCAGTGGACCTCCTTGAACCTCAGTATCTTCATCTATACAATGTGAGAAAACAGTTGATACTGCTCAGAGTGGTTGGGAGGTTGAAAGAGATAATGTGTGTGGCACATCCAGCCCTCTAAATATTTGTGTCCTTTCTCCTTGGCTACCCCACATACACACTGAACCTTGGTTTGTCCATCTCCAAAGTGCAGCAAGTTCACGTGCAGGTACATAGTCGGTATAACACACAGCTTTTTGAAAATGTGAAATCTTATTCTTTCAAGAAATTTTATTTCACATTCCAATGTGCTACAAGTATCTTGAATTATTATCTTGCAGACTTTCTTTTTTAACATTGTAAGGTCCAAAGAAGATGCTACAGCTTCTTACATGCCCAATAAATGTGATATGAATGAATGAATGAATGAATGAGTGAGTGAGTGAGTGAAGATCGAAAGCATTCCTGTTAAGAGTCAAGATGGGCAACTTTTTGGAGAGTTGGTCTGTTGAGGCTCAAGTCGTGGATCCATTTCCTCTCTAGGTTATAGTTAGCTTTCGTGGAAAAGGCTGATTTCTCTGCCCACAGCTGTAGTGCTGACCCAGCCAACTATCTTTACAAATTCACGTCATTCGTTGCTGGAGAAACGGTGTGAAAGTGCAAACCCATCACTTCTTGTGGCAAAACAGTTCTAACCACAGATCTGCTGTAGCATTATTTTCATTTGTGATAGAAGCTGTGAGGTCAGATGGAAAAGAGCATAAACACTCTGTGCCCCCTTTCTAGGCCATAGGTTGTATTTAGGTTTCTGTTTGAATACATCCGTTCCATAACTGGAAATCCCTCTGGGGGCAGAATCAGGAATGTTAATTTCCCACTCATGTGAACCAGCCACCATCAAATCTTTACTTAACACACTCTCCATTTGGGTGTAAACTTTATTGAAATGTAACACATATACAGAGAAATACACAGATCGTAAGGTCATAGCTCAGTACATTCCCGCAGCGCGAACAGACCCACGCACCTTGCGCCCAGATCGAGAAGCAGAACACAACCGGCAACTTGGAAGCTCCCATGCTTGGCCAGTCACTAATAAAAATGACCTTGACTCCTGTAACAGCAGAGATGAGTTTTGCAAGACTCACCCATGTTGTTGCGTGCCGTTGTAATTCACTTCTTCTTGTCACTGTAGAGTGTCTCAGGGGGGGTCCCTCCTGGGGGGGTCCCTCCCACTGTCGAATTGCTAGTGTCACTCCCTTCTGCTTGCCGGTTGATGTTTCATGTGAAAGTTCATTTGCTTTGGAACTACTATTCTTGGTTTCTGGGCCCTTCGGCAGGTGTGGAAACCACCGGATGATTCTTGAGGTTTGAAAGTCTCTGCCACAGACTGTTAACTGCCTGCTCATTCTCCTCTGTTCACCCAGGCTTTCTGTTGCCTGTGCTCTGACCCCCCCCCCTCTCTCTCCCCCCTCTCTGCCTTTGGTCTAGTCATCTTCTCCACACAAGATGAAAGAATCCAGCCCGTTGAGCAATAGGAAAATCTGTGACAAAAGTCACTTTCAGGCCATTCACAGCGAATCCTCAGACACTTACAGCGACCAGTCGCCGACGCTGGGCAAAGGGCCACTTCTGGGGCAGAGCCAGCCTCCGACCGAGATGCAGTTTGTGAGCGAGGAAGACATCGGGGCCTTGGGCGCGGCAGCGCCGCTCTGCCCTGTGGCCGAGGAGCTCAAACCCCCCTGCGCCGGCGTGGTCCAGGCGGCCAGCAAGATGGATTCTCCTTCTAGGAAAAAAGGTACGAAGGCTGGCGCTTCCCGGCTCTTCTTTCTGTTCAGACTTGGCCCTCGCTCTGCAAATTACACGTCCTTCTTACACAGCATCCAGGAAAATCAAGGCAGAGACAGAACCATGAGGACTGTCAGCGTTCGGCCTGTGCTCTTTCGCTGAATGTGTCAGTCGTCAGAGTTCAGTCGGAAAATCAGACGTGAAAGGAGGCCTGGGGATCACGTGCCGAACCTCATCTTACAGACGGGGGATGCCAGGTCCAGGAGATAGCGTGGCACCCCACGAGTGTGACTGTTATAAGGTTGATTATCAGGCTAAACCTGTCTGCCTCTCCCCTTGGCCCAAGTTTCTCTCTTGCCCATAACCCCATTTAAATACCATTGACCACTATTTCACATTATCATTAGTTTTTTGTCCAACTCCCCCTACTAGAATATATGCTCTCTGAGATGAAGAGTGTTTTTTGTCTGGTTTTCCTTCTGATCCTCAGTGCTTAAAGTAGTGGTTGGCACATAGTAGGTGCTCCGAGAGTGCTAGCTGAATGCGCGCCTGGCTGCAGTCAGTAGTGATGTGCCAATCTCTTAGCCGGGCAGCTTTGTGCAGTTTTCCAGAGCTGTGCAAACCAATTACACCATTCTCTGCCCGCAGCAGAGGGGAAGTTTGAAATCGTGGTGTGCAGTGTCTGACTGTGCACAGTTGAGGATGTCGTGCCTTGGTGTATTGATGGGGAAGTGCTTAATGAAAGCTTTTATTAATATCACTTAACAATAATAATAATGGTAATAGTGCCAGTGTTTTGAGTGTTTAGGACACTTCAGTCACTTTACAGACATGGAACCAAGGCTCAGTGAAGCCACAGCCCTTGATCCGGCCACACGGTGGTGAAGGTGGTGAAGGGCAGAGCCCGCCGGCCCGCAGACCCGGGCAGCCTGGGCCCGCGGCAACGCCGCACCGCCCGCTTCTCACCGGAGCTTCTGGGCCGGTTGGGGCGCTTGGGAGCAGATGCGCACGTGGTGCTTAAGTGCCGTGTCTGTAGACACAAGCCCACGCGGCCGTTTCTGACGTAAGAGCGGTTTTCTGACTCGAGCCGTTTCCGTTTTTAGATAAACGAAGCAGGCATCTCGGGGCCGACGGCGTCTACTTGGACGACCTCACGGATATGGATCCTGAAGTGGCAGCCCTGTATTTTCCCAAAAAGTAACCTTTCTTTTAATCCCTCATCCCGTGTTCTATGGTCTGCACGTTAATGTGCGTGAGCCCGGTTGTCACGTGTGTCTGACTGGGGAGTGTGCGAGAAAAGGGCAGCGGGAGGCTCCCGTCCACTGTGGGAAGCAGCCAGGCACTCCGGGCTCTCTGCGTAGCCACGCGTGTGCGGGCCCTGCCCATGCGTGTGCGGGCCCTGCCTGCACTCCCCCTTGCAGGCAGGACGCAGGCACGAGCCTCGGTGGCCCGACAGCCCGCACGAGTGGCCACGGCTGCGCGGCCCTCCCCCACCCCGGGAGAGTCTCCCGTGGTCCCTGGGGACCACACTGGGTGTTAGCACCGTGGGGGGCAGTGGCAGGGGCGAGGCCCGGGGGGCCTGTCCTTCCTCTTGAGTTTATGTGGGGGGATGCAGGGAGGGGAGACAGGGAGACGGAAGGGGCCAAAGCCTAGTGGTTTCCTCCCCTAAGGCAAGTCAGTGCACTTCTTTCTTTGTCGTGCTGTCTGCGTGACGAACCTGCCCGAGATGAAACCGGCTGCGGGGTGGCCGCCGCCCGGCATGCCCGTGGGAACACCTTCTCTTTCCCCCCTGGCAGCGGAGACCCCCCCGGGCTCACAAAACACGGCAGCGACAACGGGGCCCGGTCGGCCAACCAGTCCCCGCAGTCGGTGGGCAGCTCGGGCATTGACAGCGGCGTGGAGAGCACGTCGGACGGCCTGCGGGACCTGCCCTCCATCGCCATCTCTCTGTGCGGGGGCCTCAACGACAACCGGGAGATCACGAAAGGTACCGCGGCCGCGCGCGCCCCCTGGTGGCCGCCGTGGGAAGGCGCAGGGCCCAGGCTCTGAGATGAGGTCCCGTGTTGGTGGCTTTTCCCGGGCGTGGTTCCCGGTAGCACTCAGGACTTGCTGGCCTGCGCTTAGCTGAGCTCAGGGCTCTGTGGGGTGCACGTGGCCGTTGGCCAGGCGTGTTTGCAGAGCACCCTGTGTGTCTCCTGTGCCCCAGGCCAGCACTGCGGAGGTGACCTCCAGGAGCCTGTGGTCTAGCGGGCATGTCAGTCTTGTTAACCACTTCGGAGCGGCCTCACTGGCCGCAAAATCTCGCCCGCAGCCGGCACCCACAGTCCGCACGGTAGTCTGTGCTGGGCATTGACGACAAATCTGTTTTGCTCTTGCGTGATGAGGGAAGCTTTAAAGAACTGAGAGCTTCACAGGCAGCTTTACTTGTAATGTGAATCAGAATAGGTAACATATACATGTATGTTTTCATTACGTTATTTTTAAATGTTCACAATTTTATTTTGATAAATAAAAAATTAGAAAAGTCGTATCACAGCTGTCGGCTAAAGTCGCTGTGCACGTTCATCTGTGGCTGTCGGCTATAGTCGACACTCGTACTGAAGTGGTTAGAGCAGAGTGTGCAGAGGTGTGGGGGGCTGCTCCGGTCTGGGGGGAGGGGGCGGGGCTGAGTTTGTCCGAGGAATTCCGGGAAGGCTTCCCCGGATCGGAAGGCTGCTGTCAGGGTGGTGCAGGTGATTCATTCAGAGCGTTTCCAGTGTCTCAGGACAGTTCCGTGGTGAGGTGTGCCCAAGACCCCAGTTGACGCATCAGACGTGATCAGCTGCTGAACTCGGGGACGGACCTAGCTGCCCGGCCCCACCTTTGTCTCCCACCACTTTCTCTTTTCCGTCCCCCATGGTCTGTGTGCTCGGCAGGGAACAGGGCCGAGGCCGTGTGCTTCTCCCCTCTGCCTGTGAGGGGCTTCTCCTCCATGTCCCCTTCCCAGCCAGGGTTGCCACGCTACACTCCTGTCTCCGTCCTGCAGTCCCTTCAGGGCTTTGTGACGTTTTTTTCCCACGTAAGGCTGGGACCTCTGTTTTCTGGCGCCTGCACCAGCCCGACCCTCCCTCCATCGTGGGCTGGAACAGGGCGCTCCCTGGGTCCGGCTGACCCTGATCATTTCAATTCATGACCGGTCAGTCCTAACGGCCACCCTGGGAGGTGGATGCGGTTATTTGTCCCCGTGCTACGGGGGAGGAGGGGCTGAGACTGGGGGAGATAAATCACTTGACCACGGTCACGTTGATAACTGCGACTTAACCCGAGGTGGCCTGGCTTCTGAGCCCCATAACCATTGCTGTGCCTCCGCAGAGGGGCGTGCGCTGTGTTTTGCACACCCTGCCCCCAATGCCCCCTCCCCACCGAAGGTGCACCCCTCCCTGGGCCGCAGTCTCCCCCGCAGCCTCCCTTCATTTCTGCACAGACGCTGCCCTCCAAGCAAAATGAGGCTCCCTGTACGAATGCATTTCGCACTTTTGGTAGGATTGTCCACACAGCTGGAATGCACGAGCTCTCAGAAAACACTTGTGAGTGACTGAATGAAAAATAGGCCTATACAGTACACCCATGTAACAGAAACCACTCATACCCCCTAAATCTATTGAGATAAAAAAATAAAATAAATGACAAAAAAAGGAAAAAAAAGGAAAGAAAAATAGGCCTAATCGTGAACTGAATTTTCTTTATCTTTTTCCCTTGTTCCCTGCGATTGCTGTCACAGACGCGTTTCTGGAGCAGGCCGTGTCTTATCAACAGTTTGTGGACAACCCCGCTATCATCGATGACCCCAATCTCGTGGTGAAGATTGGGAATAAGTAAGTACGTCTCGAAAGTCAATTTGGCAGTAGCACCGTACGGTTTCAGTTTCATTTTTTTTTTTAAATATAGAGACCCAGACATCAGGCTTTAGAAATGTATAAAGTAAAATCTTTGCTAAAACTTCGTTACTTCGTCCAGTGGTGAAACTGCTGGCAGAATCCTGTGCCAGTAGAATGGCAGCACGGCTGGCAGGCTGGGGTGCGACCGGCAGTCTTGTGGGGTTTGAATATTTCATCGGCTCTAGATTCGATAACTGAACGTGTGAGGCCGCAGTGCTTGGTCTGTGAGGCTTACACCCTGCACAGCGCGTGGATGTGACAGCGTAACCTATGTTTCTACCCCTTTAAAAAACTTTATTATCTGAGGTCAAGAGATGTGTCAGGTGTCCTTGCAGACTGTTAACAAGCTTTTCTCCCTAAGTGGGAGTTGTGGATGCTTTACGTATTAACTCGGGTTGCCTTGTCCTCGAAATGTGGCGGGACATGCCACAAGCACGCTGTGGTTTGTGCAAAGCTGGCGGCCGGAGTCTCCCGGCATGTCCAGCTGTCCGTCCTACTGGCACGACTGCTGCTGGGCCCCTCACTGTGGCCACTGGGCGTAGGTGGAGGTCGGTGGGGGGCGTGTAGCAATAGTACTGAGCTCTTTAAGGACCTTGCTGGGGTTCCAGAGCTTTCCATGACTGTTTTGTATGATATTACAAAGGTTTTTGGTCCGAGATTTGGTCTTCTGACATCTGTTTCATTGTTTTGTGTTAAGATATTATAACTGGACAACTGCAGCACCTCTGCTCCTGGCAATGCAGGCCTTCCAGAAACCTCTGCCAAAGGTGAGCTTTAACATGAGGAATCGGAGGGGACCCTAGGCATGATGGGTAGGTTAAGCTGGGTGGTTGGAATTTAACTTTGATTTTAGAAACTGCAGAGTCAATTGCATCATACTCTTTTGAAGTTCATGGGGAGACATGCTAGGAGTGTGAGATCTGTCTCTCTCACACCTCGAACAGCCTTCCCTCTCCTCCGTATCGAGGCAAAATCTCGGCAGCGCAGATCAAGGATCCCCTTCCCAGCACCTGCTGTGCTAGGGACACAGGTGGGGACAGAGCAGATGGGTGCCAGGGTGTCAGAGGATGAGGGGGAGAGCATTGCCGTTGAAGGGCTGGAGCAGGCGCTGGGCTGGGTGCAGGGAGGCGCGGCACACACCAGGTGCCAGCGTCGGGCACTGCTCAGCCAAGAAGCCGGCCCCGTGCCTGATCCTCTGAGGCAGGAGCCACGACAGGGCCTGGGCAGCGTTGTCTGCAGGGGAGAGTAGGTGAGTGGCTGCAGGGAAGAGTTAGGAGGGCAGGTGGGCAACCTGCCAGCCCACAGTGTGTCATCTTCTCCCGAACAGTTCACGGGACAGTCGGCCAGGAATTGTTAATTGTTTTACTGTTGTATCTTCCTACCGGATTATATATTCTTTTTGCTGCAGAGACCCTGTCTTAGACTCGTTAGTTTCCTTTGCACACTTAGCAAGTGCTTTATACTGCTCAGTGTGTTGTTGTTGTTGCTCAGACAGTTCTAACGTCTGGGATTCTTTTTTGTTGGAGACAGAGTCTCGCTCTGTCACCCCGGCTAGAGTGCAGTGGCGCCATCGTAGCTCACCGCAACGTCTAACTCCTAGGCTCAAGTGATCCTCCTGCCTCAGTTTCCCAAGTGGCTGGGATTACAGGGACCCACTGCCGTGTGCAGCTGATTCTTTTATTTTTAGTAGAGATGGGGTCTTGTTCTTGCTCAGGCTGGTCTCCAACTCCTGAGCTCAAACGATCTGCCCACCTTGGCCTCCCAGAGTGCTAGGATGACAGGTGGGAGCCACCGGGCCCGGCCTAGTGTCTGAGATTCTTGAAGGTTTAATCTCACTTTGTTGAGTCTCCACTTGCTCCTTCTTGGTTGTGTGTGTGTGTGTGTGTGTGTGTGTGTGTTGTGATTTGGGGGCTGTGATCTCATGTCTGCTGGTATTCTTTGTGAACTGGGCTGAGGGCGTGTTCTCCAGAGTGGTTTTTATTCTGTCCCTGCCCTGGTATCCGTGGCTCAGGACAAATTTTTGGGTTATATTTTTCACCTTTTACACATCGGTTAAAAAAAAAAGACCAATGCAGTAGCAATAGAGTTAAAGGTTTTAATTGCAGAAAAAGAAATACACAAAGCTGTGAAACTTAGAAGAAACTAGTTCTCGTGATATGCATGCCAAATCCTTTCCCAGGTTTAGTCAGTCATTTTTGACTCTGGCATTTCTCTAATAAAGAAATAATTTTTATATGTAGAATTTGTCAGTCTTTTCTTTTATGACTGCTGGGTTTTGTATCACACTTTGGGTGGCCCTGCTTCTCTGTTTTCAAAACTTGTGAAAATACGTCCTGCGTTTTCTTCTTGTGCTTTCTTTCGTTTTAAACATTTGGTCTGTCTAGATTTTACTTTGGCAGTAATAAGGGAGGTGTCAGGAAACATAGCTTTTTTTTTCGCAGCTAGTTATTGAGTTTGTTAGGATGCTTTTGGTTTTAGGAAACAAAAAAATGACTGAAAATAGCTTAAATAATACAGGGTGTATGGTCTCAGCTGACAATAACCGTAGGGGTTGGTGATTAATTAGGGCTACCTTCTCTGTGAATTTTGTGGCTTTCTCTTTATGGTCACAAGGTGCCTGCCCATCATTTCCTTGTACGACCACATCCAACGCAGGAAGGGGTGGGGGCAGATTCCCCGTATGTCGTTGGTGGAAAGCTGGTCACGTGATCACCTCTGAACTCACTGTTGGCAAAACAGTGACTGTGAATGGCTCAGACCAGTTGAGGTTCACCCTCTGGAGTTGCACCTGTCTTTCTCGAACGTACTGCAGCCTGATTCTCGAGCAGAGTTGGAATCTGTTGGCAAGAAAGACGGTGGCAGGTGGGCAACTTAACAGGATCGGCTTCGCTGCTTAATTATCCCAACACCATTTATTAAAGAACCCTTTTCCTACGGGTGGCCAATTACAACTTTGGCCTCTGTTAAATTTCTCTGTGAATTTAGGTTTATTATGTCTGAACTTTTGTCTTCTGTTCCTGCGCACGTTTACTCACGTGTACCAGGACTGCTTTCGTTTAGTTACTGTAGCTTTTACGTCTATTTTAATATCTGGCAGAGCTTGTGGGGACTTAACTACTATTCTGTCTGAGAATTTTCTTGGCGATTTTTGTTTGTTTGTTATTCAAATGAACTTTAGAGTTTGTCCAGGTCTGAAAATAATCTTCTTAGTTTTTTTCCTTTCTTCCTTTTCTCTCTTTTCTCTTTAAATCAGGGTTTTATTGCATTTATAAGTGGATTTAGGGGAAATAGGGTAATGGATGTCTTTGTGAATTGTCCTATTCATGAACAGGGCATGAGTGGCTTGCATTTTAGTGTACTCAGGTTCTTTTCTGTCAGAGAGGGGTCTCTTAAGCTAGATAGTGAATTATTCATCTATCCACTTACCTGTACCTTGCTGAGTTAAAGGACTTAACTCTTTCTTTCATTAGTAGCTGGGGTGTCAGCTACTTGAAAGTTCTGTAAACTGATAAAGGGACATTAGGTAACATTTACCTTGGTCCTAGAATTAGCCTCAAGGTAGACATTTTGTTCTTTGGAAATACTTAGCAAATTAATTCATATTTAATCTCCCCCATCAAACTTTCATTCATCTAGGATAAAAGCATGAATTTTCTTTATAATACTTGAGATTTTAAGTGAAATGCATCTATTAATGTCAAAATTTGGAATTTACACTTACTAAAAATTTCTGTGTATTTTACCTTTTGTTGACAACTGTTGTATCCTATGCCTCATATTAATCATTTCATATTTTATTTTATAATCATCATACTGAGGATAACAGTATATCTTAACCAGTAAGCCACTTTAATTTGGAAACTTCTGGTCTTACTAATCACTAATGATTTTTAATGCTTTCTTTTTTTTTGTTGTTGTCATTGTGTTGTATTTTATTTGTTGTTTGTTTATTCCTTTAACACCTTCTCAAGTCTTCATGCTTAAGTTACCTTAATGTAATTTTGGACGCCATTAGGTTTTGCTTCTCTAAAATTTTTAATCCACAAATAGTATGTTCTGTTTTCTCTGATTTTTTTTCTTTTTGTTTTTTTTTTTTATGTTAATGTTACTTTAATTTGCATGTATGTTTCTTTTGGTTTGAATGTGCTAAGTTGATCTTTTTTTGGTTCCATTATTTATGTTACCATCCATTTAAAACAGGCCACTGTGGAATCTATCATGAGGGATAAGATGCCCAAAAAGGGAGGAAGATGGTGGTTTTCGTGGAGGGGAAGAAACACCACGATCAAAGAGGTAAGCACGGGAAACGAAGCCTGCGCTCGGCTCGGCGGGCTGGGTATCGAGTAGTGAAGCTAACTTCCGTGCATTTGTGTCCGAGAAGCAGGCACGAGTTCCTGCGAATCAGCTCTGCCGCAAAGCGGGGCGCGCCCTCGCGGGACGCGGGGTGGGCAGAGAGGAGAGCAGAGGCGTGTGCGGAGCCGGGGGCACCCCTCTTGGTCAGGTCACCCCGCTCCGTTGCATATCTTCATCTGTAAAAAGATGGGGTTCAACCCGGTCATTTAAACATGAAATACCTTCCTTCTGCTTGTGAGGGCAGTGCTAGCGAGGTGTCCTTTACGGAGACGCGAGCCTCAGTGTGCGTGGCTGCACCTTCCAGCTCAGATGTCGGGTGACCCTCCGCCTGCCGTCGGGTCGCTGCGTCTGCCCGGCTCCCCCCTCCCTGCTCCGCGCTGGCTGCCCCCTGGCCTAGCCCCTGTCAGGGCGTCCTCAAGGCGGGGCTTCTCTTCTGCGTTTACTCCTTGCTCTTCCCTTCGGCCCAGAGGATGAGTCCGTTTTCATTTCCAAACCAGACATTCCTTTCTGCTCCACACCCTTTCTAAATAGCCAACTAGTGGACGTCTCCTTGTGGCTGCTTCAAGCGTCCCAAACTCCTCGTTTCTAAAACCGGACGCACGGTGTTCCTGAGAGCTCTTCCATCACCGGACCCATAGTCGGAAAGTGGCATCCCTGGCCGTCCATAGCGCACATACTTCCTTCCTCCTCACTCTCACTCCGAGTCCTGTTTCCCACCTAAATGTTTCTCACATGTATCCGTTTCTCTCCAGCTCCGCTCCATAGCTCTAAGCTACGGTCATCTCTGCCAGAGCTGCTTCCTTCCACATGGTCTGTGCGTGCCCATCCTTGCCTTGTCTTGCGCATTCGCTGCACTGTTGTTGGATGGTCTCTTTAGGGTGCCACCTCTTACAGCGAAGACCAGGGAGTGCCCTTACCATGGTCTACAGCACTCGTGTGCTCTCGCCCCTGCCTGCCTCTTTAACCTCATCTTTGCCACCCTCCTCCTGTCCTCTATGCTTTTGCTTGGCTGGCTATAAGCACATTCTGCCCCAGGGCCTTTGCACATGCTATTTCTTTGCCTTGTGTTCTTAGGACTCCTCTTCCTGCCTTCACTTAGTTAACTAGCAGCTCAGCCCTTTCACCGCAGATTAGCCTGGTCTGCTGTTCTCTGCTTGTAAACTTTTCCTTCATAAGTCTTGTCAGAGTTTATGATTATATACTTATTAGTGTGACTGTATGATTAACAACGCTCTTCCCCTCCAGACCTTAAACTCTATGAAGGCAGAGGCCATATATGGCTTGGATTCTTTTGATGTTCTTGTTGCCCATATCGGACCCAGAGTTGGGGTTTGGCAAATATCTGTTGAGGGAACAGTGATTATTTTTGGAATATAGTATGAAGAAACCACAAGGAAAAAAGTCTCAAGTTGGTTATTTTAATAGTAAAAGAAACCCCAGTTATGGGGAAAAGTTTGCTTGGAAGATTTTAATCAAGGTGTAATTGTTCTTTGTCATTTTCTGTTAGCATATCTGAGTTTTATTAATCTGTTTTATTGATCTTTAAGGGGTATAAATAAGTTAAAGCAAATATATATGCTCTACTTTTAGGGAGCTTAAAGCGTAAAGGATCTTTCTAGTTTTCTTCATAAAGAGCAGAATGTTGTAGAATTTAAGGTAGAAATATACTTCAAAGACTTCCTCGTAGAGTATCCAAATTCTCATCAGTTCAAATTAAAGGGAATGCCAGTATAAAGTAAGGAACATTTATGAAGTTAAATATTTCTCAAAAAATCTAAAACATATTTATTTCAGATAGATGCACATTTTTGAACTAGCCAAATTAGAATTTGCTAGCAGCGGTGGCTCAGCCATGTGACTCAATAAGTAGATTAAAAATAACTGGGTGTCATATCAAACGCGTATGTGCTCATGAAAACACTATTTGAAGCCAGTTTGTGCTACTCCCGCGTTAAGACAGTCGCCCTGTTACGTCGAGCATGTTGTTCATTTTCTTTATTAACCGCTTCGGTGCGAGCGTCGACTGTAGTCGACAGCCACAGGTGAACGCACAGCGACGTTAGCAGACGGCCCCGATGTGACTTTTCTAATTTTTCATTTATCAAAATAAAAACGTGAACGTTTAAAAATAACGTAATGAAAGCATACATGTATACGTTGCCTATTCTGATTCACATCACGAGTAAAGCCGGCTGTACAGGAAAACAAGCCCTCAGCGCTTCAAAGCCTCCCTCGTCACACGAGAGCAGGGCGGACGCGCCGTCCGCGCGGCGCAGGCCGCCATGCCCACTGTGGGCGCCGGCTGTGGGCGAGGCGTCGCGGCCGGTGAGCGCCGCATTAGGGCAATGACCAGGTGACCACAGATGAGAGAGTTTGTTGTCCACCTTGTGCCCTTGGCATCTGTCTGTCCTCCCGCGTCCTCCCTGCGTCTGTGGGGTCAGTGCCCGTCTCCTCGCCTGGCCCTCCGTGTGCGGGCTCTGCCTTCCGGACACAGCGTCGCCTTCGGTCCCCACAGCGGCATCGGGAGGTGGAGAACGTCCCCCCACCCCGACCCACCTCACCGGCGAGGACGTGAAATTCCAAACACATAAACGACTCGCGCGAAGTGGGACCGGGCCCAGGTCTTCTCTTAGAGGTGCAAGACTCTCTGCAGTACGTCAGAGACGCGTCTTCTACTAAGAGTACGCGGTATCGAAAAAGAGAAAAAATGCGTCCACATTTTCCCCAAGCCAAAAAAAAATACGGTGTGAAGGTATTGTCCAGCGTCTGTATCAGCAATTACTAGAAAATATTTTGAAAGCCCCCAGGAGTGCGGGCAGCCCCTGATAAAGCGTCAACATACGCTGGGGTGGCGATGGCATTTGCTTTGGTGCCACAGACGCTTGTGGATCACAGACTCGTCGCTGTCAAGTGTCTTTCCTGGCTTAATTGTGTGTCCCTAAGGGAAGGAACATCCAGGACCTGATGAGACAGACACACCCAGGGCCTCCCAGGCCCTCTCGGGTTGCGTGTCACCGGGGAAGGGTCCACCTTCGGGGCACCTGGCCTGGGTTTAGGGGAGCCCACGGGAGCACGGGAGCTGTGGTGCCAGCCCCTTCTCTGGGGTGCGTCCTCGACTCTCTTCTTTTCTCCCTCTCCAGGAAAGCAAGCCGGACCAGTGCTTGGCGGGCAAGGGCCTCAGCACTGGAGAGCAGCCGTCCCAGCTAGGCATGGCCACCAGGTACGGCAGGAGTCTTCTCGGGATGCTGCAGCCCCTCTCCGCGTCCAGGGTCGTGGCACCTGCCGGTTGGATGCTGGCAGGGTTCCAGCTCTGGCCCTGGGGTTCACTCGGTGACCTGGAGCAATTTATTTAGCTTGGTTTTCCCATCAGCAAAGTGGAAGGAGTCGCTCTCTTCTGTAGCTAACGTGCAAGGTAAACGTGAGCCTTAAGTAAGGTGCTGTACCTAGAGCAGGTCTCCTGGGCCTGGCCTATGCCAGCCCTCCATGCACAGAGGAGGATGATGAGGATGAAGATCATCATAATAAACAACAGCATTAACAATAACTTGAAAATAAGTTTCATTCTCAAGAAACTTGCCTTTCTCTACAGTTCAAATACTGGGCAGGGCTTTACGTTGGTACTTTTCTAAATGCTGACATGGATTCATGGAACTTGGCGCTGGAGAGGTTAGCTTTGATAACACTGGTCAGTATTTGTCTTCAGGTTAATCTCTTTGTACGGGATTAGCGGGGGACTCTGCTCTGAGGATAGTACCATTCCCCACTGATTATTACACTACACGTCGGCACTGAACAATTTGTGTGCCGGAAACATCTTTCACACGTAACCTCACTTTTCCAGTGTTCCTGTGCTTAAGAAACCCAGGATTGCATTTCTTACTTAGCAGGTAGAAAATGCCAGCAGATTCACTGAGGGCCAGACCCACATCTTAGTCATTTTTGTTCCTTGGAGGCCGGGCCAGTGCCCAACCCAGAGTAGGCGTCTCATGAATGTTGCTGAACTATTGCTGAACTGCTGAGATGGCCCTCATCTGTTGTTGATTTATAGGCGGGGCAGGGTAGACTTCCAGACCTCTGACTCCTGGCCATGGCTCTGCGTCCTAAATTATTTTGTTTCTAGAATTCTTTGTTGGGAATAGACACGTAGGTGCCAAGCAGGAAACAGTCTGCTTTCTCTGCTCTTCTCTGGGGACGAGTGTGCAGGCCTTGCTGTGATGGTTTTTGAAAGTGACCCTGAGTGGACTAGGTCGTTCCCGGCTGGGAGGTTCCGGAAGGGAAACCTTGCTGTTGTCCTCGGCGACACTGTAGGCGGTGCTGCTGGCTTCCCGGGGCTGCGTTTGCTCTCTGAGCTCACAGCCGCGCCAGGGCGGCCAGGCGCCGGTGCTACAGGCGCCGTGTTCCCATTCCGTTCCTCGCCCGTCTCTGCTTCCTTCTCCGGGACGGGCACTCGGGCACGGTGACTTGGCTACTTTCCCAGCAGGGAATTTAGAGCTTGGCTGCGAGTGAGCTTGGAGGGGAGGAGGCAGGTGTGTTCCGAGTGGGGCACGGGCTGGGAGCGTTTGAAGGGATGTACGAAGCAGCCAGCACAGAAGCCGGTGGTTTCTGAATGAGCGGCTCTTCACTCCCGTTGGCGGGAGGCAGCGAGCTGTAGCGGAAACAGCAGACACCGGAGTCAGGCAGGTCTGGTTTGGAATCCCTGCTCTGCCACTTGGTAATCATTCGGCCTCAGGCAAACCGCCTGACACATCTGAGCAAAGTCCCAGCGCGAGGTGAATGCCCAGACAGGCCAGGAGGGCTGTTCCCGGAGGCCGTGCAGGAGGTGCTCGGCCCAAGGCAGGGCACGAGAGCAAAGCCGCAAAACCCTGTGGGGCCTAAGCAATTTCAACCAATTTAAGCTGCATTAGGAACGCCCTGATTTCCTGAATGCATTTTCAGAAATTTCCCTGTTTTAGCAATAATTTCTAAACACACGAGGTAGCACAGTGCAGGACTTAAGAGCAGGCACTCTGTCAGACAGCCCTATGTGTGATCTTTGGCAAATTAGTCCAGCTGTCAGTGTCCCCATCTGTGCAGTGGGGGCGAGAGCAACACCGACACCGTAGACTGCATCTCGTTTAATCCTCAGGGCAGCTTCACGAGCAAGGCGATTCAGAGTGCGAAGACCCACCCAGCCACGCTGGAGATCAGTGCCCGCAGGCGGCTGTAGGGGAACAGTCAGGAGGGTGGCCTGTCAAGGTAGCCACCTGGAGGGCGCGTTTAGTCCTAAGCCATGCAGTTTTAGAAATTTTAAAATATGCTCCATGGGCTAACTGCAGGGTGTCTGCCAAATCCATCTTGCCATGTGCCAGTCTTTGACCCAGGGGAGATGGGCCAGAGAGCCAGGCTCACGAGGGGTGCAGGACGACAGCACTGGAGAGGGTCGCACGTGCAGGCCTGGTGCCGTCACTGGCGTCCCGTGACTTTATTCTTACCCCCCTGAGCGGTGGCTGGGAGGGCCCGGGAGAGTGGAGGGAGAACTGCTGTGAGCTCTTCCCCAGTTGGATCATCAGCCCCTGCCGCTTACTTGAAGCGTTATGGACCTTCTTCCTACTGTCTGATACTGTCATATTCCAATATGGACAAAAAATGCTTTTCCCAGTTACATAGAAACAGCTGGACTATTGGCCGTTCTGAATTAGTCATACCACGCTTCCTTATCAAACCCCAAAAATTAAGAATTGTGAAAAGGCCCAATTCTTTGTGAAAAGGTATTGAGATTTCGAAAGAACTATAATAAAGTCCTCTTGAAAAATGTAGATCTTTTAATTTAGGCTGGCATCTCAGACTTTTAGTCTCTTTATTAGAGTCATGCAGTTGACTTGAAAACAAGGTGTCAGAATGTTTTTGCTAATTGACAGACTTGATTGGCAGCACAGTCCCCGAAAGTCCCATAATTGAGCAAACAGCTTGTCACCATACAAATAATTAAAATACCCTTTGAAAAATGCACACTGTGACAAGTGCTGACTTCAGTGTTGTTCACAGCTACTCGTTGGAACGCAGATTTTCAAATGACACGCGCCCTTTGTTTTGCTGCTTCTTGCAGACACTGTAAAGCAAGCACATGCAATGAGCCATGGTGGGGCAGGCGGGGCCTGAGAGTGGGAGGCACTCTGTCCCACGCAGGGTGGCAAGATCTGGGAGGTGGCAGCCGCAGATGACCATTTACTGGCCCTAAGTGAAACCACCGACAGCCACCTGCACAACTCCCGTTTCAGCCTTGGTCTCTGTGTTTTCCTTTCTGTGTTCCTTCAAACGTTGCATGCTGCACGAATTTAGTTGTTTTTTTTTTTTCCCCTTAAAGCAACAGATGGAAATAACAGCTATTCTGCCTTGCGTCCTTATCCTGCCGGCAGAGGTACACATCAATCTGTTGTCACCAAGAGCTTGGGTTCACATTTGGCTCTCATTTCGCTCCAAACCGTTTGGTTGGAATGTAAACATTTTCCTGTGCAATGGGGGGCCCGTACCCTCGTTCTCCTTCTGCCCGACAAGGAGATCCCGCCCTCCCACCCCCCAACCCCGGCTCTGGCAGCTCCAGGACCACGTCTGCTCTGTCTGGAAACCTCTGTGTCGTTGGTTCAGAAGAACCAGCATTGTTCATGGAATCTGCAGGTGTTGGAACCGGAAGGGCCTTCTCTTGGAACGTGTCAAAATTTTACAGATGAGCTGCCAGAGGTCGAGAGAGGAATTACCTGGTTTGGGGCCTTTCCTGAGATTCATGCCCCACGCCTGATCCAGGTCTTTCCAGATGGTTACCTGCCTGCAGCCTGGAGTTTCTGGTGGGCAGGAAGCAATTTGTTCCTTTGCGTTTTCTGATGAGGAAGCCAGGGCTGGAAGACAAAGAAGTGATTTGTCCAAGGTAATACGGCGTAAAGTCACTACGGGCCTGAAACCTGGATTTTTTAGATTCTACCCGCTGTGCCATCTCCACTCTAGGTAGAACGAGCCCCTCACGTCGTGCTTTTGTTCCATCTGTGCCTAGCTTAGCCCTACCACCTGCCCTTCTCCTTCAACACAGTCTCCTGTTCCCGTGGCTTGTTCACCAGGGCTGTGTCCTGGCGTCTCCACCTCCGCGTCTCCAGCCCAGGTTGCTGTGTTGTGATGGTTTAGACCAAAGCCCCGTGAGGGTAGGGACCAGGTTGTTTGCTATGTCATCAGTGCCTGGCACTGAACGGCAGTGTTGGTTGAATGAGCCCCAGGCCATTAGCCCGAAGCCCTTCTCCTGGGGCCCGGGGAGCAGGTGCTTAGGGGAGGGCTGACCTTTCCGGACTGGAAGGGGCCAGGTCTCCACACCAGATGTAGTAGAAATGACACGGACGTGGGGGTGCATGTGACGGTGTCCTCCCCAGTGCTTGGCAGTAACGTGTTAGTGGTGTAGGGATCACTTCTTGAATGAACGTGTATGGGGTCAAAAAGGCAGCAGGTTGCACAGGAGCTCTTAGGGGAAGGGGGGCAGCAGGAGGCGGGAGGAGGAGAGGACATCAGCACTGAGAGGCGAGAGCTCTCTGAGATGAGACGCACATTGCTGCGGCTTCTCTGGAGAAATGTCTATTTGGATCCTTTGCCTACCTTTAATGGGGTTGCTTGTTTTTCTGCTGTTGAGTTGTTTGAGTTCCTTGTGCATTCTGGATTATGAGTCGCTTGTCGGATGAATACTTTGCAGATATTTTCTCCCATCCAACAGGTTGTCTCTTCACTCTGTCGATTGTTTCCTTTGCTGTGCAGAAGCTTTTTAGTTTGCTATAGTTTCTTTTGCTGAACATCACTAATCATCAGGGAAATGCAAATCGAAACTACAGTGAGATATCGTCTCACCCCAGTTAGAACGGCTACTACCAAAAAGACAAAAAATAACAAATGCTGGCAAGGATGCGGAGAAAAGGGAACTCTTACACACTCTTGGTGGGAATACTACAGCAACAGTGGAAATCAGTATGGTGATTTCTCAAAGAGCTAAATATAGAACTGCCATACAGCCCAGCAATCCCACTACTGGGTATTTGTGCAAAGGAAAGGAAATCAGTGTATGAAAGGGATGCCTGCACTCCTGTGTTTATCGCGGCACTGTTCACAGTAGCCAAGGTGTGGCTAAGTGTCCATCGGTAGATGAATGGATAAAGAAAATGTGGGGCACATATACACAATGGAATATTATTTAGCCATAAAAACAAATGAAATCCTGTCGTTTGTAGCAGCATGGATGGAACTGGAGGCCATTATGTTCAGTGAAACAAGCCAGGCACAGAAAGACAAACACTGCATGTTCTCACTCTTAGGTAGGAGCTAAAGAAGTTGATCTGATGGAGGCAGAGATTAGAATTGTGGTTACCAGAGGCTGTAGCAATAAGCATTTTTGAAAAGATAGTTAAAAAAAAAAGATGAGATGGAGCTCCATTATGTGCTAATGTTGCTGAGCAGGATGTGCTGAGCCTGAGGCTTCGCAGGAAGGTGAAGCCCCTGAGGGCTTGGGGCGCACCTGCTTTGGGGGCCACTTGGCCTTTCCGCTGAGTCAGAGACGGGTATTAAGCACTTCCTGTAGCATTAAGGCATCTCCAAAGGTGATGATTGCAGAAAGCAGAGCTAATACTATCAGGGTGGGGATTATGTCACAGCAGGATTTTCCTCCAGGGAACTGCTAATTACTGGGATGCTTTCTATGAGCCCTTTAAGGAAAAGGAGCCTGGTTCCCACCCTCTGCCCTCCCAGCCCCACCACACCAAACAGAAAAATCTAGAAGAGTTAGAGGCATGGGCCTATGGATTCTGCACGGGCAAATAAGGTGTTTTCATTGCTCGTGTGATAATCTTAGTAGGGATTCCGGAGCAGGGAAGTGGTGAGTCTTCCTTGTTGTCACTCGTACCTGTTCAGGTCCTCCAGTGCCCTCATGGCTGGGAGCTGTGTATCTGGAGATGTGTGTGGGGGGGCGGGCCGATGAGCGTGGCCTGCAATCTCAGAGGGGCAGAGAAGAGAAGCAGAGAAGAGAGCATTAGCATCTTCCTAGGCCAGGAGGGAGTTTAACTCTAATTGTCATGAATGGGGACCTACGGGGGCTTAAAGCAGAGCGACGGTGGCTGGTAACTGGGCGGGTGGATGAGGAGAGGCAGCCCCGCGTGAATAACGCAGGAGGCGCATGGAGGGGGTTGCAGCGGGAGTTCACTGATAAATCTAAGGCCGTATGGTAAGTGACCACCCAGGAGACAGCGCCCAGGAGATGCCTGATCGACTCAGCCGTTGATTCAGGGCTAATGCATGTTTAATGGCCGCGCAGATGCGTGTCCTAATTGGCGGTGACATCGCTGTGTTCCAGGATAAAGCATGAGTCATCCTCCAGCGACGAGGAGCGGGTAGCTGCCAAGCCGTCCAGCGCAAGCCACCTCTCTCTTTTGTCTAACGTCAGCTACAAAAAGACTCTGCGGCTCACCTCGGAGCAGCTGGTGAGCCTCGCGTTCTTACGCGGCCGCGCTTGTCAGTCCTCGGCATTCTGGGGCCCTGCAGAGCCCCGGGGGCGCACGTTGTGGGCTGGGCGTTCCCGGCACTTTCGTCCCGGCCTGCCCGCGGCCCCGCAGCCTGCCCCGTGTTTCTAGCTGTCTCCAGCACCCTGCCTGGCAGTACCACTTTCTCTCCTGTCTTCCCCCTTTTCTAACCCAGCCCTGGAGGCCGCTGTTCTCAAGTGTGGGGAGCAAGGGAGCCCGATTGAGCGCCTTGATCCTGAGCTGTCAATGACCCACGGACTCTAAAATCACTCAAGGGGGATTTTGCTTTAAGAGGAGTGTTTGCTAACTCAAACGCATCTCTTTAGGTTGGTGGAAATCAAGCAGTTGCGGTGGAATTTAGAGAATTTCAGGTAGCAAGGGGCATCGGTCTGGTTACAGTGTCCTTGTGTGTGTGTGTGTACAAGACCAGTTTGAATCAAAAGCCCCTTCCTTCCCGTGGAACTATTTTCCACAGTTTCCACGACCAGTCAGTGAGCAAATATCCTTGCTTTTTTTTGGTGAATAAAGTCTTTTGCATCGTATTCTAAAAGTCAGTAAGGAGCCTGACTCAGTTGTGATGGTGTTTAACGGGAAAAGGTAAGGAACAGGCCCAGGCACCCACTTAGGCCACGTGCGGGACCCTGCACCCTGGGAGTCTGTATGACACACGGCTCCTGCCAGTGACTCGGGGGACCTGGGCGTCAGCGGCCTGCGGGCTGTGCAGCGAGCTGGCCCACATCACGGGCCTGGCAGAGAGGCCCGGAACTGCCAAAAGGTAAATTTGCTTTCTGAACTTGGTGCAGTTTCCTCGGGCCTGGACTATATTCTTCTGGATTTGAGGCATGACTGATAACCTGAGACTTCTTTTTTCCCCAGTTTTTGTCAGTCTAATAATAATTGTAGCATGGTTATTTAGGGAAACATACTTTCACACTTGGCTTGAATTTGTCTCCTCAAATCATAGCCCTTCCTGTTTAGTCATGGAGTGGTAAGTCCGTCCTATTCAGAAATGGCGAGTTCTTCTGCTGAGCCGAACAGCCTCTTGTTTAAACCCCGTCTAATGATTGTCATCCGCAAGTGCTGGCTGGAGTTGGCACTGCGCTCGGCAGGGGAGCCCCGTGGAGGAGGTGGGCAGACGGTGGGCAGTGCGGTGCCCGGGAGGACCGAGGTGCAGGGTTACCCAGCCAGCCCCGGGAAGAGCTAGAACAAGGAAGGGGGAAGAAAGATCGTACAGTGGCTCAGGGTCATGGTTCATTTTCTTAAAGCTGAATCCTGCTTCTTACGGAACAGAAGCCAAACACCCCTCAGTCTGGGCAAGCAGACGAGTGGTTCATGTTTTTCAGAAAAGCTTGAAGTTGAAGAACGGCCCCAACGACGTGGTTTTCAGCGTCACCACGCAGTACCAAGGCACCTGCCGCTGCGAAGGCACCATCTATCTGTGGAACTGGGACGATAAGGTCATCATTTCTGACATCGACGGAACCATCACCAGGTAGGTGCGGCTGACGGGGCCCTCGGGAACCTCGTGGGACTCGTGTGGTGCAACTTCTTGTGCAGTTGGAGCTGCCTCTGTAGTTTCAGTTCCTTGCATCCGACAGCTGTGTTCAGGGTGTAGTTGTTTCCTGGGTACCGTGTCCCCGACTGCTGCTCCGGTGGGTGCCTCCACTCTGCCTCTTCCGAGCGGCCTTTTCATTTCACTTTGATTTGACAAGCCTTGGCCCCGGCATGTGATTAGACAGGAGGTGGATTAGCACGGTCCACCCTGAGCGCTCTCACGTGATCACGTGGGCCTTGAGTTTCTATCCAGGAAGGAAGTCATGGGGCTCGTTAGCATTTTTTGCGAGGCCTGAATGGTGCAACGAACCTGAATGGGATTTTTCTTTTCTTTTTTTCTTTTCTATCTTTGTGTAGATCAGATACACTCGGCCACATTTTGCCCACCCTTGGGAAGGATTGGACCCACCAGGGCATTGCTAAACTGTACCATAAAGTGAGCCAGTAAGTACAGAGTGTGTTCCCGTATCTGTGCATGCGGAGTCTTTCCTGCCAGGGCGCTGGGTGACTTGCAGAGTGGAGTGGGCTGCACGCGGGCCAGGCGGGCTGGGGGGAGGGCGACATGGCGGTGAGGAGTCCAGTGTGCGCTGTGAACTTCAGGCAACTTCAGACTGAATTCGGTACCAAGAAACGAGGAGAGACATACAGGTGAATCAGAAATTGCTCAGAGGAAGCAGAGGGTGGCAGTGTTAGGGGCGGGATCGAGGTTCGGTTCGTACCGAGCAATGTCAAAAATAACCAGATGAAGAAGCGGCAGGCTTGTATATGCCAAGCCATTTCCTGTGGGCTGAAACCTTGCAGATTCCGAGCAAGCTTTGGCTGCGGTTCAGGTCTCCAGAGCCAAGCCGGCAGCGCGCGTCTTGTCCACTTGGTCCCTGCTTCCCGTGGGCGGCCAAGACAGAACAGCGTCCCCTCTTGGGACCACGGTCGGGTGGGAGAGGGGTCCTCAAACTGCCGGCCTGGGTCAGGCACTGGTATTCCTTCGCTTAAATCTTACGGTAATTTTAAAAGGCTTGCAACGTCATTTCTGTGTTTAGACGAGTGAAATTAACTCAGAGAGTCAGAGTTATTTGTCCAAATTCCCATAGTCCTAGTCTGCCTCTGGCATTCCGAACCCGGCAGGGATTCTCCACACCCAGCCTCCCCACCACACACCCCTGTCCTAGTCCAAGTCTCTGACCTGCTTAGTCACACTTGTCCAGCTTTCTTTGGGCTGGAGTCTCCCGTATGCGTGTGAAACCGCTCCCCCAGTGCATTCCGGGAGCTGGAAGGTGGCTCTGCCTGAATCAGGACAGCCCCATCTTCCCGTGGGCAAGGGTGGCGAGGAAGTCACACGCTTGGTGAGCATCAGGGTGGAAACTGAGGGCCGCCATTCCCAGCACATGTCTCCTCTGGCCGCCTTGGTGATGATAGGAAACGGACAACCAGCCAGGGCTGTTTCTGGAACTCTGTGAACACAGATGAATGAAATACACTTCTCTGTCCTCATCCATCCATCCCTCCCTCCCTCCCTCCCTCCCTCCCTCCCTCCCTCCCTCCCTCCCTCCCTCATTCACCGAGCACCTCTTAGTGCCCAGCCTGAAGCCGATCCATCCCTTGAAGCGGAAATACCATGAACAGTTTGGGTCTGTCTTGCTGTATTTAGAAGTTTGTGTACGTACCCTTCCCTCTGACATGTACTCAGATTATTTAATTTGATATCATGTCTGTCCTGTTACATGCAGGGTTACCTTATTCTTTGCAGCTCCTGCATGGAATTCTGTTCTATGGATATATATATATACTTTATTTAACTAGTCCTCTACTGATGCACCTGTAGGTAGTTTCCAGTTTTTTCACTGTTTCCAACAGTGGTGCAATAAGCATTTACATAGAATATTTATAATATGTAACTACACATGAATAAATAATGAAATACACACACTTAGGGAAGTGCTGCCGTAAAGTAGATTCCCAGAAGAAGAATTGCCGAGTCAAAGGACGAACACATTAAAGATTTGATCAATATTACCGAGTTGCCTTCTGAAAAGGCTCTCCCAGTCTGGGCTCCCGTGGGTGGTGTACGCGCACGCCCCTTCCCCCGCCGCCGCGCCACGGGCAGACCTCACACTTAGCAGGATTAATCTGCTCATGAGCTGGCCTGACTTGCATGACACTGAAAATTGCATCTATTTTTAGTTGAAGGAAAGGAACCCTCATGGGTCAGGATATTGAGTAGTTCACAGCCTGATTCATTTGGTTTTTGGAACATAAATCTATTCCTGTCCTTACTGTAACATTTAGAAAGCACAGTTGCTTTTTATTTTTTTCTCATTTTTATTTTTTTGGTCTCGATTTGTGTCTCTCTCGGATTTTCCCAGAAGAGAGATTTTCTTGAGAAATGAACTTGCGTAGCTTACCCCAGAGCACCTGATCGTTGTTTTCTTTGATTGATTGGTCTAGAATGAGTGAGACCTGTCAGTTGGGCTCTGAGACTGTGACAGAATTGTCTCTGTATTATCATTGTGGTCGGGAGGTGGGGGCAGTGCGTGACCTGGACACATGACACATGTGTGCTCGTTGACATGTGTCGGCGGTGGCGGCACCCAGTCAGGCCAGTGCACCTGGCGGGGATGGCCAGGGCTGCGGAAGCGCCATCTCCAACGCAGCTTGGCCACAGCCCTGGGGCCTTGCCGCTCGGGACTTAGAGTGCCAAGTGCCAGTTCCTCTGTGTGGCATTCGAAGCCCAGCAGTTTCGGTTCCAGCCTCTGCCGGCTTCTTATTTTCCACTGCTGCTTCCCAGGCCTGCTGTAATGGCGCCGACCACGTGCCCACCCATGCTCGTTCCCCTCTTCCTGCCTTCGCTCCCGTGTCGGCCTCTGCCCCACCCGCCTTTACCTCTGATTTGTGTCTCAGCGTGTGTTCCGCCTTTGTTGCCCAGCTCAGGAAGCCTCCCCAGGCCGGGATCCGCGACCCGGTCAGCTCTCGCCACCTCCCCTCCCTGGACTTGCCGGGCTCCGTGTGGGCACCCAAGGGCCGGGCCTGGCCTTCTGGCCTCGGTCCCCATCGTGGAGGGCCAGGCTGGACTCGATGGCAGGCTGTTGTTGTGGCTGACTGTCCTGGAACCTCTCACAAGCTAGGTCTGCCGAGCTGGCTGTTGAGCTAGGTCTCAGTGGGTGATTGGGTTTGGAAGGAGAGGAGAGGCCGGAGATGGGCACGTGTGTGGAGAGCTCAGGGAGCGGGGAGGCCCCGGTGCCCAGGGTGGGGTGGGGAAAGAGGACAGTCGGCAGGAGCCGGTTGCAGAGGGCCCTGGAGGCCAGGCTGAGACGCGGGTTTGGCACAGAGCCTTCCCTCCTTAAGGTGGCTGGTGACCATCTTTCCTCTGAGGACTTGCAAGTGGGACCGCAGAGTCTCTTTTCTCTACAACAGTGGCTCTCAACGGAAAGTGATTTTGTCCCCATGGAGCATGTGCCAGTCTGAGGACAGTTCTGTGATGACAGGGCATGCTGTTGGCACTTAGCGCGTGGAGGCAGGGACATTGCTTATCTCCTACAATGCAGCGTCATAGGGACCTCTTTCCCCAACACACCCTTGTCTGTTCTAAGATGTTGGTGTTGAGAAACTCCAGTCTAGGAGCTTATGCTGCAAAATGATCCCAAAGGCGATCTTTCTGAACTATCTAAATCTCCCTAGGTCAGTGTTTTGGGAGAGATGTGGAGACTGGGAGGGAGCGGGGGAGAAAACTGCGTTCGTGGAGTCTGGGCATGGCTGGCTCTTTCTGTCTTGCTCTGCTTTGTCCCCAGAGCGCTGCTGCAGTTGGCGGGAATGTCGCAGGAACAGGGCCATCCCCGTGTGTGTATCACACCTCTGTTCACCTGCCCTTCCTACCCGAGTCCCACCTCTGCTCTGTCACCTGTCCTGCTTGGTGATTGTGGGCTTTCCCCACAGTACTGTCTGTCCCTGCAGGGCAGGGCCGTGCTGTGCCCATGGGCACCCCCAGCCCCGAGTGCGGCCTGGCACGGGAGTGCTCAGCAAGCGAGCACCGAAAGGATGATGGCGGGAACCTACAGACTGAGTAGCGACTTGGCCTGTAGGGCGTGTCCTGCCACTGGTTGCCCTTCTGAGTGAGGGGTGCTACCCGCAAGGGCACCATCGAGACTTGGTGCCACCTGAGCCTTTGGTGGGACACTTGTTGGCATTTCAGACAGCTTTCATCGCAGGCGGGAGGGGTAATTCCTGCTGCCACCAACAAGCACTTCTCCCATTAGGACATCCTCAAGCTGGTTTTCCAGCTAAGTTTAGCAACAGCCCTTGCAGCGGAATGCTCACACGCTGACAGCCGCCCAGTGTCATGATCAAGCTACGCGATGTATTTGAAAATCAAGTTTCGAGTAAATTTAGCCTCTCAGACCCCTGCAGGTGATAGCATTTAGGACTTTGATGTGAAGAGCTATACATAGAAATAGAGTTTTTTTTTTTTTTAAAGATTGCATTAATTAGACAGCTGAAATACAAAGGTAGATTCTTGTGTTCCAAACAAGCTGACATTTCCAGATGCCTTTTTTCTTAAAACTTTCCTGTTTCTTGGTTTTGAAGACCATATTATTAAGCAATTCTAGACACAAGTCCTTTGGCCACCATAAAATATCCATGGTAGAACAGTAAGTCGGCTAAGGAGTGGGTGGTTGTTTGCTCACCCAGCAGACGGTCGCTAAGTGTCCACTGTGTGCCCCGCACTGTTTTGGCACTGGGGTCAGAGCAAGGCGTGCAGCAGAGTTCCTTTCTCGTGGGGTTGATGGATGAACGAGCCACACGGACACAGGGACCGTGACGAGGTATCGGTGATAAGTGCCACGAGGAGAAAGAAGGCCGGGCCGAGGAGTGAGGGTGGGTGTTTCGTGACATGGGTGGGGCCACCTCTGGGGAGGTGGGCTCTGAGCAGAGACCTAGATGAGGTGAGCCAGCGGGCCCTGCAGATGAGGGGAACGGTGTTCCAGCAGGGGGAACAGCCCCGGCAGGTGCCAGCGCAGGGGTGAGCGTGGAGGGTGCAGGCAAGCTGGGGCGTCTCGGCGGCCTGCCGGGAATGAGGGGTTGGACATCCCTGGCAGGTGGGGTTGCAGAGGGAGGCAGGGGCAGGGCCAGGTGCTCTTGGCTTGCAGGCCGTGGCAAAGGAGGGTGTGGATTACACCTGCAAGAGATGGCAAACCTTGTGGGGCGTTGAGCGTGAACAGATTGAGTTTTGTTTTCTTAGGGTGCCGTGTGGAGATGGGATAGAAGCAGGGAGATGATTTAAGGCTATTGCCCCGTGGAGGCCAAGAGGCTGTGGAAAGAATAGAGAGAGTCGTCATTGACCCTGGGACAGACAGTAACACCTCCCAGCTTTACACGAAAGTTCACGAAGTGCCAAATTAAACTGACTTACGGGAGCTTGCGTCGGGGAGAGCTGCAAATCGGACGCGGGGGTGA